GCAGCAGCAGAACTTGGACTCCTCTGTGCAGTCGGTGCACACACAGTTTCATTTTGTTGTTACAATAAACTAGAATTAGTTTACAGCTTTGATTTCATAATAAGCAGAATTATAAGTATGTGCATCTCCTTTTCCAGAAAAGATGGGATGCAAGCTCATGGTGTTGGAAGGATGAACACCCTTCTGCTATATAAAATAATCAGCTGGAAAACTTCTCTTCTGAAGAATTTTGCAATTCTGCCCACGTGGATACGAGGGGTCCATGAACACCGTGGATACGGAATAGTGTACGAAGCAAAACCGTCAAATCCATCAAGCCTCAAACTGTCCATCGTGCACATCAGCCCTTCTGCACCTGGGGAGCTCCACACAATGGGAACCCCTGCTTAAATCCATAGGGACCCCAGGAAAACTGCCTAGAAATTCATTCTGGCCTAAACATGGGTGTGTTGCATGGTTTGCTTCCCAGTTTAAGCGTTACCCGGAGACACTTCAATAGAGTAAGTTAAGGTTACTGGGAAAGCCCGAGCACTCGGCGTCCTTGCTCTGTGTTTTGCAGTCAGAGCAATTATGTTATATCAGTCTTGTTGGAGGGGGGTTACGCTGTAAATTGATACAAAAGTGTCTGCTACAGTGAGATCTTCCTAAACATGAATATGGATTTCAGCAGCATTTTCACTCACTAAATTACTTTGCAGATGGGCTAATAACCTGAGGTTAAAATAACCTCTGTTGAGTAAACTATCTCAGGGAATAAACAGACTACTTTTGTCTTGGTCAGAAAGATCAACTGATAATAGAATTTAACAATGGTAAGAAAGAATGGAGCTGTGATCCCTTTAGCTCACCATGTCCTTAATTTAAAATAAAAAGTTATATTCATATGAATGCTAAAATATGTGTGTATATATATTTATATATATATATCTAAAGCATGACCACAAATGATCAAGGCAGCAACAAAAGATAATTATTTAGCTACATGGGATGTAAACTTGCATTTTCAGTAATATTTGTAAACAAGCTCATTTTCTGAATCTCTCCTCTGTGTGCTTTAATTGTTGTGCTCTAACTATTGCTAATAATAATACCAGATATTGTCACTAGCCTCACCAGAAAGCTATGGATCCCAGTCTTCTCCATGCAAATCAATAGGAAAGTTGTTACAGTGAGTCCTACATCTACAATCATACAGAGGAAAAAACAAAAACTCCTTCTAGCTATTTCTAGTTCTTTGCATTACAGTGATACTAAAGATTTTTGGTAAATATAACTTTAAATCACCTCTAAATGTTATCCTATCATCAGAAAAAGAGGTATGATTAGAACGTGCTTGCATTTCCCTCTCTCTTGTTGCCTTTATGGTGAAATATCATTCCTCTTATACAGATGCTGTCTTATTCTAAATTTTCACTTCCTATACTCTATTTAATAGTTAATAATTAATGAATTAATAGCTTTGTAATACAAAGGAACATTAATCTTTTTGTTAAGTCACATCATTTTCCTGCTAACAATAAAACCCCTTTGTTATAAGGCATACTATCGTGAATGAACATTGCCTCTATTGCATTATTTAATTAACGGTTGAGCTCCTATTTTTTCCTAAGTAAACTACAGCTGGATAAAAAAAATAAAATCAGTAAACAAATGATTTCTAATGAATCCTTTTTGTATTATTCCCTTTCCACTATCAAAATTATATCTGCTTAAATGACTTACAAAGGAAATAAGCACTGCATTGCCCTTATCTGATGAGATCAACGTGCCAGTTTAGCTTGTTTTGATGTGTGAAATTTGGGTTTAAGGAATTGGGTTATAAGATTTTGAATACTGACAGGTCTTATTGTTTTCTAACTTTACCCAATGTTTATTTACCATTTCACATAAAATTATATGCAACAGAGAGAAAACATAACTTTATCAACTTTTTCTGCCCTAGTGAACGTTGAGTTGACAGACTCAGCGTTCAGATCTAACACAAAATAAAAAAAATACCCCCACCTTTCACTTTTTTTTTTTTTTTCTCCCATAATGAGCAAAATATGGGATCAATATGTCTGTGTTCTTCCTAACACAGAAGGCAGTAGGTGTAATCTCACCAACTGTAAACACTGGTGATGACCGAGACTTCAAGGAAAGGGACTGACTCCTCAGAAGGTCCCTTCTCATAATATTCCTTAATATTTTGAGTTCAGCAGAGATCTGGGCCAAAATCCCATTCTCCAGGCAGGTCTACTTTAGTATCTAAATCCTTAAAGAGTTTATGAGGATGTGGAGGAGTCTCAGAACAAAAAAGTCACATCTCCTGCACGTTGAATTTCCAGTAGTCCGTTTATCTCCCAGGATTTGGGTGAGGGCTTGCAAAGAGAAGGGAGAAAAGGTAGCAGATAGAAGTGTGAGCCAGTAAATTAGAAGATTATTTCTAATAAGTTCACCTGAATCTATTTTTTTAAATAGTATAAATTCAACTTTTAGAAAAACCAGATAATTATGAAAAAAAAATATTAATTCAATCTATACTGTTTTCATGGCTGCAGAAAATAGGTATTTTCTATCTGTACTAGCACAAACACAAGCAGAAAGTACCAGATTTCACCCTTCACTTAGTTTTATTGTTTCATCTATTATTTTAATTTTTGCTACAACCTTCACCTTCTTTCCAGAAAAGTAAGGCATGAAAAGATGTCCGTTAAAGCTGATTTTAGGGCAGGTGGCATTGGTAGATCAAGAATAGATGGAAGAAAAGATTTGTATCACCTGCCATGGAAAAAAAAAATAGCTTATTGTTTGTGACTCCTGCCAAAGAGAGCACCTTTGTGGCCACCCATCACGCCAATGAGATTTGGCAGGTTTGATCAGGCCTTGAGAGCCTTTCACAACAGGGCTTTGTCAAATCTGTCCCTTGGCTGCCCACAGCGTCACGCACTTCCCAAATTCCCCTTTTGTTGCCCACATTCAGGTTCGTAGGCTCCAACTCGGCAGTAACTAGCACTGAAGGGATACATGCCGTTATTGCTTGCGCAACGTAGCTGTCACATCTCTGAAGACTAAGATCGGTCGTCTTTCCTTGGGGCACAATAAAAAGGTACCGCAAATTTCACTTTGTAGTAACTACAGGCTACAGAAATTGCATTAGCTGCATTAGATGGAGTCATAGAAATATTCAGGAAGGTTAGCAGGATATGGTAGATGTCACATTTATACTACGATAAAAAATCACTTTGCTAACTTGTAATGTTTTCTGCTTTGGTAACACCCTATATTAAGGTGCCATTTATAAATAATTTATTATTATTTATTAATGTATAAGCCACTTTATAGGATGGTAGATAACAACTTAAATTCATGTATTAAAGATGCACATACATGGTTTAATACAATTTACATCTCACAATATCCTTTGCAACAGATTCTCATCGCATCATCTGTTACGCATTTATTACTAATGCATTTTATAACATACTTTATAATACGTTATTTGAGGAAGTGGCTGCATTTAGTGATCATTTTCATAAATAAGAATAAAGCATTTATAAATGGCACCTTAATTTAAAGTGTTACCTCCACATTACTGGATAGTCACTCACCATTTGTCTCCCTTTGCCATTACTCTCAAAATGCACCTCTTAATAAAGGACATGCTAAGTCCTATTTCTTCTCATACACTACATCTGATTAAAAGTTTATCAAGGCACTTTCCTTTCAGCTGCTCTCAAACCTTTGAAGGTTGCCAGCTCAGTCTGAATTTATCTCATGTAAACACCAAACTTTTTATACTGAAATAACAGTTGCAAGGAAGCTGAGTATGTTGGATGGTTGATTGCCTACCAGGTTGGCCAGCGCCGGCTGCTTGGATTCTTTGTAGAATTCCATTTTCCTAGCAGTGAGAACAATCCAGGACGTGGACCAGTTTTTCCTTAAAAATAAAATATTTATTTTTTTTTAATATAGCAAGGCATGCAAGCAGGAGGTAAAAGATACTCTATATGTAGACTTGGATTTTAATTATTTCCCATCAGAAACAAAAACGGTCTGAAGTCAATACCATCAATGCACTTCCACCAATATTGATGGAGTTGCACCATCTTTATTACACCTGAATGTGGCCTAATGAGGCTTGAAGGCCTTCCTTCTCCTCATTCATATTTTGAAGCCTATGGGATTATTCACACATGCTTAAAGTTCACATATATTTAAGGACCCAAAATAGCTGGTGCCCTTCTGGTAAATAATACTTAAAATGGAACCAAGAAGGAAAATGTAATTCCTCTCTCACTATACAGAGCTCAGCAGGGGATCTATTTTGAAATGTCGGAAATACTTTCTCCTTTCCTTAAGTTAAAAGTTTACAGGTGAACAAGGAAGATAAGAATGAAATCAGAGAGCTCTAAGTAACCGCTAAACATCAGGAGTTCACGGTATCAGCCCTTGAGACCTGGCAAACTGCTGGGGCCGGGGAGAAGCCAAAATGCACAGGGATATGTGAAACAGTCACAGGAGAGCATAATAATCAACTCAGAAGAAAATGTTATTATATCACATGATGTTTTGAACCACTACATAATCATAAACAAATGGATTTGATAGAAAACTATTTTTAGATCAACATCTTCAAGTTTGACTCTCCATTTTGAGGGTCATAACATCTGCTGTTTACAAAAATGCTCACCTCTCAAGCCCACTATTTATTTGCTTTATGTGAACGCAAATTACAAACATGAACATTTTAGAACAAACCTGAAAAAATGCCTGTGACAAACAGACTGTTTCACATGTATGCTGTAGTGTGTTAAAAAGGAGATAGGTGCCTGTAAGGTCACAGAGTGCCCAGGGAGGAGCTGTTTTCCTCTCTCATCTGTCTTCCCTAGTTCTTTTGAGTTTTCTCTATTTAGGTATTCTTAACTCCATTTTTAATTCTAGCAAAACCTGGCTTTGTTGGGTTTAAAAGCCTGTCGGTCTTCTTCGCAACGCTCACTTCCAGATCCATCTCCAAGCTCTGCCGCACTCAATATCCCATCAAACCGCACATCAGGCATAACAACAGGCAGTTTTTCTATTAATGACTTTCCTATTCAATATGTTTCAGTCGTCAGCTTAAGGCGCATAACCAATATTACAGATGAAGTCCTAACGCCACTGGCGTTATCCGAGGAACTTGCACTCACTTCGGGGTGGGCAGGATTTCACCCAGCATGAGTTAACGATCATCCCTAAAATATGGCCAACAAGAGCCAACAGTGAAAGACACTCTCTGTGAAGGAGATTAGTATATCTGAAGAAAAATAGGACTGCATTTTTTATGCCATGTTAAGGGATGGCAGTGTTGTCAGTCAGCAACTGGAACAGAAACAGCACCTATGTCACTCTGTCATTCTCCTCTTTCCTTTATTTCGCTTAGTTTGATATCTGGTAGGTGCATTTTGATGCAGGTTATCAAAAATAATAGGATGTGATGGGCTGCTTTTCAGTCAGTACTAATATGGCTGCTGAGGCACCAGTCACTAGGTTAGTTTACAGATTTTCTCCACATTCAGTTATTTCTGCTTCTAGTAAACTTTTCAACTGGAGTTTATTCTTTCCCCTGCTTTACTCATCCTCTACTCTGAGTTAAGCAGCCCTTTTAATTTCAAATTTAGCCCAGACATTGTGGAAGACGTGCTCTTGACCTCTGGCTTCATAATTCTGGAACTTCATTAGCACAAAGTCTTGTGGCTGCAGACTATTTCCTTGAAGAGGTTTTGGAAGATTTCTCTCAGATGATTCAAAAAAGAAAGGAAAAATAGGAGAGAGTTGAAGAGTGCAAAGAAAGGTCACAAACATCGTACTTACGAATTGGTGAAGCTGCTTTGTTCTCTTAATAGCACTATTCATTTAACTAACAGACATATTTTAGTTTCTTTAGTAATATTTTTTTTTTTCCCCTGTTTACCAAGTTCATTTTTTAAGAAGGTTTCATATGAAGGATTTCTGGAGTTCGATGCCCTGGCTCTTGGCACAGGTCTGGTGTGATATTGGTTTTTTTGTTTCGTTACGTTGCAGCTGTAAGGGGTTACTCATTCATACACAAATAAGAATTGCATTTTACAAATAGAGAAATCCGTGTAAGTAGTACAGTGTTTCAACAGTGAGACAGCTGAAAGCACAGCTATACCTATGTGTAATATCAAAGAATTTATCTTGCAGCTGTTTCATATATAGTAACATTTACGGTGCTGATCTAGGGCAACTCCCTTGTCCTTGAAGCTATCCAGCTTTGAGAGTATAATCTGAATGATAAGCTATTTTGTTCTACATACTGTAGGATCAGTATAGTATCTGGATGCATCCCAGGAATGTTTTAAGTCACCGCT